GGCACGCTGAGAGCCTGCGCTGCCTCTTTAAGTATCCACGGTGATACTTTGTCTGGTCCAACAGCTTTATTTGCATCCAGTGTTGTCAACTGTTTCATTACATCCTCTGCTGTCACCTCTATATCTGATAGTCTTTCATCTTGGGTAATCTCTTCTAACAATGGGAGCTGCTCAGGCTCGGTAGTGAACACTCCATGGAATTTTGCATTCAGTACCTCGCAGATTTCCTTGTCGCTTTCTGTATATGCCCCTTCTGTTTTCCTCAGTCTTGTCACTTGGTCATTTACCGACATCTTCCTTCTTATATGGCTATGTAGTAATTTTGGTTGCTTTTTCGCTTTGACTGCAATATCGTTCTCATAATTTCTTTCCGACACTCGTCTTATGTTAATGTAATCATTCCTAGCTCTGTTACATCTAATCCTGTTGTCCTCTGTCCTTTGTCTTCTGTACTTCCTCCACTCCCTCCTGCTTCTCACCTTTGCTTCCTGACACTGTCTATTAAACCATGGGTTATTATATTCCCTCCTGCTTTTTGTCTTTATTGTTGGAATAAATCTATCTTCAGCCTCCTTGCATTTCAATATGACTTGGTTCATCATACCTTGCACTGTTTTTCCTCTAAGTTCTTCCTCCCACTGCACTTCTCCCAGGTAGTCCCTTATCCTTCTGTAGTCCCCTTTTCTGTAATCAAGTCTCCTTTCCCGGACCTCTTGTCCTTTGGTCACAATTTTAAGCTCCATCATGTAGTCAAAGGCTAGGACACAATGGTCACTAGCTCCTAGTGGTATTTCATGTTCCAACTGCTCGATGTCTTCTACATTCTGAGTGATAATGAGATCTAATAGGCTGGGCGTATCCCCTCCTCTTTCCCTAGTATCTTCTTTCACATGCTGTGTTAGGAAATTCCTGTCAATAACGTCTACCAGCTTCGCTCCCCAGGTCTCCTCCCCGCCATGGGGATTCCTCGTTTCCCAATCTATCTCTCCGTGATTTAGGTGTGTGTGTGTGTGTGTGTGTGTGTGTGCGCGCGTTCCTTGTGGCCGCACTTGGAGCAGGGCCAATCAAGTTACGGGGTTGCAAAGGTGCCTTGGCTGGTCACCGGTGCTTCCATAGTTGAGCGGGTGGTTGAGACCACTGCTGAGGTCGCCGCTGAGGGCACAGTGTACAGGCACTCCCACAAGCCTAGCTCAGAGTGTCATGGCCAATCATGCCACGTACAGCACCCACCGGGTATATTAACCTCCACCTACTCTGCAACTCTCAACCTTAACAGATAATGTGGCAGCGTTGCACGCCCATCACAATTATCATTCTGCAAGAAATTTATCTTTCATGGTGCACTCTGTAAATATAATGTTTGCTTCATAATGGATATTTTCTGCTCGTATGTAAAATGTGTCAATAAAAACCGGGTGATAATAGATAAACCTGTATGACATGTTGCCTGCTGCTGTTCACCTTCTGCCCCCCCCCCTTCAAGACACATGCCTCGGTTTTAACATTGTTTTAACAATTTGTTCTCATATGTAAGTTAATATTAATACGCAGCGTCCCAGAACTAGCTATCTATTTCTATAAAAATCGGAGGTATTAAAAACCTACATTATTTTATGCTTTAACTAATTTTGATACAAAAAAGAGATTTATAAATCGTGACAAATCTTGCAGTCACAATAACGTGGCTGAAGTATGTTGACCAGACTATACACTAGAAGGTGAAGGGACGACGACGTTTCGGTCCGTCCTGGACCACAATCGACTTGAGAATGGTCCAGGACGGGTCCGAAACGTCGTCGTCGTCCCTTTACCTTCTAGTGTGTAGTCTGGTCAACTTACTTTAGCCACGTTATTGTGACTCATCGCCTGCATTACACGTTTAGGTTCTATATCTTATGAACCAACAGAACCTAAACACCTAACTGAACCTAAGTCAGGTCTAACTCCTCCGGCACAATCATGTATACCTGGTTGATACCTGGTTGATGGGGTTCTGGGAGTTCTTCTACTCCCCAAGCCCGGCCCGAGGCCAGACTTGACTTGTGAGAGTTTGGTCCACCAGGCTGTAATGTCCACCTTGTAATAATAATAATAATAATATATATTTGAGAAAAGTACAACCATTTGAATAGGCAGCGTTGTAAAATAGGCCATTTTGGGGGGTCGTCCGCTGGTTACAGGAGCCTCCTAGCCTGAGGACAGTGTGTGTTTGGATCACGCGCACCTTTACCTGTAAGGTGTGTACGTCACGGGCGTCATTAAGACGGTGATACCGTGTACGTCGGCACTAATGGTGAAGCGATGGTGTACGTGTTCTCACTCTCAGCACCCTTGACTCACTCTCATGACCCTTGACTCACTCTCAGCACCCTTGACTCACTCTCAGTACCCTTGACTCATTCCAGACAGCATACATATCTTCCACCAACCCGTTGCGTACTAATCTTGCGTAAGGTTAGGTTAGGTTACTCATGCTACCCTTGTAGCCCGCGCCGTAGCCCCTTATGCTACCCTTGTAGCCCGCGTCGTAGCCCCTTATGCTACCCTTGTAGCCCGCGTCGTAGCCCCTCAGGCTCCCTGCGCATGAGCGCGTCCTTCAAGCCTACGTTATAGCCAAGTATCTGCGAAGTGAACATTAGGGCGATAATGAGGTCACGGCGGCTTGGGTCACCGCGTCCCTCGCTGCTGATGTCATGGGTTTGTTTACCTGTGTATCTGAAGCGCCGCTGAAATAATGTGTTGTTATACAGCCATGATTAGCAAATTTATTCCTCCCTACCGTCCAGGACGTGCGCTGGGAGGTGGTTACCCAAGTGTTGAAGGGTCGTGCGCTGGATGGTGTTTGTGGGTATGTTGATGAGGTGATGGTAGCGACCTCTGAGGTAGTCACGACTGGCCTCGTCTTGAGCACATTTCAGGTAACGGAGGTACTGGTCAAGGTTAGAGGCTCTCGCCAGTAACAAAAATTATTTTCTCTCACTGCTAGAAATTGTTCTTCGAGTTGTGTAAAGTGCTGCTTAGACTGCTGGTCTAAGAAGCCATTGTTCGCTGTACATGTATATGTGAACATTGCTGAAATATCTTAGTTTTGTAAATCATTCTACACGTCATATGATGACATAACATTTAATTAGATAAGATTACCTTTCGACACACACACACACACACACACACACACACACACACACACACACACACACACACACACACACACACACACACACACACACACACACACACACACACAGCGTCTTGACTGCCAGAAGGCACTTGACACTATGTAATGCATCAGATATACAATGTTTGTGATGTAACTATATAACCTGAGCTTGTAAAACCACCTTAATCACCTTCAGTGGTTAAGTGCTTAATAACACACTAGTTTTTATAGCAGCTCTCTTACCCTGTCAGAGTAGGAGAGACAAATGTATGTGTGTGTGTGTGTGTATATGCGTATGTATGTTTAAATGTGCGTATATATATGTATATGTATATATATGAATGTATGTGTATGTATGTATGTATGTATGTATGTGTATACAGGATTTGTGGAAGCTGATCAGAATTGCATTTTACCTTTGTAAACGCACATTAATGACATTATGTAAAAAGACACATCGAACACTATTTATGTAGGACAAAAGTAAATCTGTACATTTATGTATTATACATGTAGGTTATACATGTAGGTATTTTATAAGCACTACAATCACCTTCTGTGGTTGATTGTTCGATAAATCACTGAACTATATGTTTAATAACAGATCTCTAACCCTGTCCATGGAGGACAGAAGAAAATGTATATATTTTGGTTAGCATTGTAAATATCTGGCCACGTTTGTGGTAGAAAAAAAAACCTGCCCGTTTAGACTCGTACAGAAACTGGAGAGAAAAGTTGGAGTAACTGGAGATCATAAAGTACAATGTTAACCAGACCACACACTAGAAGGTGAAGGGACGACGACGTTTCAGTCCGTCCTGGACCATTCTCAAGTCGATCTTGAGAATGGTCCACTAGGACGGACCGAAACGTCGTCGTCCCTTCACCTTCTAGTGTGTGGTCTGGTCAACATAATTTAGCCACGTTATTGTGACTCATCGCCTGCATAAACTACAGTCTCACGGACAGGAAACAAGAGGTTCACAGGGGGAGGAGTGGGGGGGGGGGGGGGCAAAATTCACTCTCCGTCAGTGAATTTTCATGACCGGTTTTACAATTATTGTTTTTTCCTGATATAAGCCAATGACCTGTTAGAGTAGCGACCGTGCTTGCAGACGAGGTAAATAAACTTTATCAGGATAGGCGCCGAGCCATTACCACTATATAGCACTAGGAAATGGATAAGGATTTGGGATGGGACAGGGGGGGGAAGGGGGAGAAATGGTGCCCAACCACTTGGACGGTCGGGGATTGAACGCCGACCCGCATGAAGCGAGACCGTCCAGCCCAAGTGGCTGGACTATTAAGGCCGACGAGAAACGCACTTCACAGCATGGTGAGGCCGTTGGCTTGTAACCTGAAAGGTCCTAAAGGGAATCAAGAAGGTAGGTAAAGAAGCTGTTTTGAAATGTACGGTGGTGGAACGTGGTATCCCTGTTGGTAAGTGGAAACTGGTATTCACAGAGTTGTGCTTGCGGGGGTTGAGCTGTGCTCTTTCGGCCCGCCTCTCAACTGTCAATCAACTGTTTCTACTACTACTTTTTTCCCCACACCACACACACACACGTACACCCCAGGAAGCAGCCCGTGACAGCTGACTAACGCCCAGCTATCTATTTACTGCTCTGTAACAGGGGCATAGGATGAAAGACACTCTGCCCATCGTTTCTCGCCGGCGCCCGGGATCGAACCCGCGACCACAGGATCATATGTGCCCAGCGTGCTGACCGCTCGGCCACCGACTCCCCGGTGGAGTTAGCAGTGAACTCAGGCCAGACTGGAGTAACTAGCAGTGACCTGGACACTGGTGGAGCTAACGGTGACCTGGACACTGGTGCAGATGGTAGTGACCTTGTGCGGAGGTGTGGAATTTGGCTTCGCTAGCAATGACCCAGATATGAAATTTAGAACATTAACAACAACAAAAAACCGACAGACAAGACTGCGAGCGTCGCTCTTCTTGAAAGTGAGAGAGTGGGAGAGGTCTGGTCAAGTGATCCAGGGACTGATAATTCCCATCCCACCTCCGGACTCGCCACGATGCCGAGGGCAGGAAACCAAACGCGTTAGGACTTTAGAAACATTTTATAAGGAGAAAAGAGAGAGAGAGAGAGAGAGGTTAGGTTGATGATGCATCGTATGGCAATACCAGTGTCATGGTGTAATATATATTCTGATTGGCTAGAGATGAGTCAGAATGGGACCAGTGGTCCGGGTGGGTTGAGACGTCGGCCGTGAAGCCTCAAGTGTTACAAGGTTAGCGCCTCATCCAGCGTGCGGCTATCAGACCACACAAAGATTGGCAAGAGCACCAACACTGACGAGGGAGGCAACATGCCCAGAACCTTTCACTGGGACAGCTTAACAGCTTGGGCCCCGTGGTCTCCTGGGGGGACCATTATCACTAGTCTCCTGGGGGGGACCATTATCACCAGTCTCCTGGGGGGACCATTATCACTAGTCTCCTGGGAACCATTATCACTAGTCTCCTATAGATTAGTACGTTAAAATGAGATATTGTTGTCGTGCCTATATATTGAGAGCTTTGGGAGCGACAGTCCCCAAGAGGGGGGGGGGCAGGTAAGGGCACAGACAAAAGTCTTTCTCAAAACAATGTGGTGGATTCAAAAGAGTTTTTCATGAGCAAGTTGGAGGTCTTCTTACTTTTGTAGTAATTGTTCGGCATCAATTTCTGTTCAGGGTTGGTTGGGAGTCACGTTTTTGTCACTATGAACGACGATTAGGAAACGTACCTCAATGGTACGTGCTTGAGTTTCAAAACGTATCTATATGGTACGTGCTTGAGGTTCAATGAGGAAACGTACCTGTATGGTACATACCTTACTATACGTTCCTGGATACTAAGAAAGGTGTAAATTAGATATAGGTAAAGTTTGTCCGCGATCACACAGATAGTCTGGTACATAGGTGCCGGCGACCACACCTTCACTACACACGTCTGGTACATGGGTGCCGGCGACCACACCTTCACTACACACGCCCTTCATCACTGAAGCGATAGACACGATTAGGGTCAGCCTCCCTGGACTTTACAGGGTGACCAGTGGTTGTTCAGGGACTGTCATAGGCAGAGTTGACTCCACATGTTCCTCAGCATGAAATGACAAATAATTCAAATTTCTAATATTGCTAAATATCAGAATTTATCCTGACCAAGATTCAGCCAGTACATTAATTAACTTTTCCAAACGATTGCAAACAGGCCAAATGGAATGATCTCATAGTGGAGAACTTTGCCTCGGCAATGCTGGAGGCAACTTCTGGGAAGGATAAATCACACATCCTAGCTGTGCAAGCTCCTCATGCTGGGGACTTCCTGTTGGCTATCCCAAATTCCGCCTTGGACATCCGCCTGGACCATCGGGACCTAAGTATTGGTGTTGCCCTGCGCCTTGCCGCCCCTATCTCCACCGAACACCGGTGTATCTGAGACTATGCGTCGGCAGACCAATACGGCAGCCATGGTCTTATCTGTCGCAAGTCACAGGGAAACACTACTATACACGAAGATGAAATGCTTGCTGTATCTTGGGCACGCACCCAGCCTCCGAAGATCTGGATTAGGTCTTCGAACAGTGATTCCTATGTGTGTTTTCTCTAAACTGTAACACAAGTAAATAAAACTAACCATATAAATAAATTATATTGCATATAAAATTGTAGGGGTGGTGGGAGAGGTAAATATTGAAGTGTTCAGGGAGACTCCAGAAGGTCTTCTCTGAATACCCTTTATTCTCTTCTCCAAGGCAATGGGTTCCCACAGTTGCACCAGAGGGGAGTACCCCCATATAATCTATAAATACATTCCCTCTTTCACCTTGAAAGTGGTGGAGATCGGGCTGGGAGGTGGGTGTAGCCCTGAGTGTAGCCATAAAGGATGGGCAACAAAAACTGGAACACCCATCAACACCGACACACACACACTTGTTTTCATTAAGGGTATGAAGGTCAGTGCGGGAGAGCGCTCCGTAGTCGCTCACCCACGTGTTGGGTGTCGTCTGTGTCTTACGGGGAGTGTTGTGAGGTGGAAGAAAACGGGGGTCATGGTGAGCGAGGAACCACCACTGGATACCCGCCCTGCGGTACAACCTTGCTCTTGGTCTCCCTCTTGTTTCTTGTCAACACTTGCCGTTCTCTTGATCTATCATGCCAGCATAAACGTATGGCATTTCGGTTGCTTCCAAGCTTTATTACGCTATGCACAGCTCCATATTTTGTGGTCATCCACAAGCTGTGCGAACATTGACTCAAATGGGGGTATTAACCATTTGTGTAAATTTATGATTTAGAGCCGAGAGCTTTGTGTACGGGCAGCACAAAACGTCCACCACATTGTGACATTATAATCCCCAGAATAACACCGAGAAAAGTCAGTTATGCCAGAACTGCAGGTAATGAATCTCCTAGCACTGAGCTAGGAGATTACCTCCTAGTAATACCTAGAGATTACCACTACCTCACTACCTAGAGATTACCACTTACCTCCTAGTGGTAAGCCCTGTGAACACAAGCTAGGACACACACAGCAGGTCGGCGTTCAATCCCCGACCGTCCACAAGTGATTGGGCACCATTCCGTTCCCCCTACCATCCCAAATCCTTATCCTGACCCCTTCCCGGTGCTATATAGTCGTAATGGCTTGGCGCTTTCCACCTGATAGTTCCCTACCCTTCCCTTCTCCCGCAGTCATTCACACAATGCTGGCCAGCAGACATGCAGACATTTTCGCCTCCTACGCAGACACGGTTACAGACCTCTTCTCCTACAGTCCGGTTATTGAGTACTGTATCCCAGTGATAAGTGATAAGCGTTTACAGAGATCAGTTAATATTGTAACCAACATATCTATATGAGAAAATCAGTTGGAACCGTGAGGAGGATTCGAACCCCGCTCACTAGGTACTCCCAAGCACACGCCCTACACCACTACACCACGACATGGTCAAAGTAATGCAACTCGGGATTCACTCGAGTCCTCGAGGAGTCCTGAGGATCATCCCACGACTTGTGTCATCTTATGGGATGTATCCTCACGACATGTATCATCTTATGCTATGTATCCTCACGACATGTATCATCTTATGCTATGTATCCTCACGACATGTATCATCTTATGCTATGTATCCTCACGACTGTTACTGGTTTTGTCACTGATACATCACATTAATGTGACTTCCCTGAGCATATAAGCCGCTGAATATATAACATAACATATACTGTGCATATAACCTAACCACTGATATATATATATATACTGAGTCATGGAGCACTTGACCACGCAGAAGGTGATCAAGGGGTCTTTACATGTTATCATTACGCAACATATATATTGCTTAATTGTTGCATTCAATAGTCAATCTTGGGGAAGGGGGGAAGGGGGGGGGGTAAGTCAGTCAATACGGGACGTTCTACGGTATAATGTTCAAGGGTATGTTTTCTCTTTCACTAAGTTGATACATGACGGGGCTGGCCAAACTGGCTCGGTTTGGTACCTCTCTCTCTCTCTCTCTTGTCTGGGCCCTCAAGGTCACTCTGGTCAGCGGTTATATAATGCATCATTGTAGTTCCCAGGTCAGCGGTTGTTGTCTCAAATGTGGTTGTGGAGTTGCTGGGAGCAGGAGATCTTGGTGGAGGGCCTGGTCGACGACCGGGCCGCGGGGATGCTAAGCCCCGGAAGCACCTCAAGGTAACCTCAAGGAGGGATAAACCTTTAATGCATTCACTAGAACACTATATTGATGAATGTGAAACCGTAAAGGACTTTAGACCTCCTGGCCTATTGTACCACCAACTGTGTAACTATTTTATTGACTCAGGTGTTCTGGACGACATCCTAACAATTTACCCAAAATTTGCTTGTCCATTTTAAAGAATGAAGAACAATTTCTACTTATATTCTAAGCTGCATCACTTATGAACCCATCCCTGCCCTTGTGTGGCAGTGCACAATAGAAAGTTGTTTTCACATATCCACACATTAAACATTGATTGTAACCGTGATATATATGTGCTTCAGCCTACAGTTTAGGCCTATTGTCTTATGTATGACCCTCTGTCCTGCGTGACAGTGAATACTAGCATTAACCTCAATTTAATAAGACTATCAAAATCCTCAGATTAGGCAAAATTGTAATTAATTTTGTCAATAAAGATGTTAATAATAATAATCAAGGAGGGAGGCAAGGGGTGTTTGAGGTTATGGGGTGAGGTGTATCTTCTTGAGGTTATCTTGAGATGATATCGGGGCTTTAGTGTCCCCCGCGGCCTGGTCCTCGACCAGGCCTCCACCCCCAGGAAGCAACCCATGACAGCTGACTCCCAGGTACCTATTTTACTGCTAGGTAACAGGGGCATTAGGGGTGAAAGAAACTCTGCCCATCTTTTCTCGCCGGCGCCCGGGATCGAACCCGGGGCCACAGAATCACACGTCCAGTGTTCTGTCCGCTCGGCCGACCGGCTCCCTGTAAGTCATATACCTGGCACTCTGGTGGATGTTGGTGACCCTGTAGCGTGGCACTTGTCACACACACCCCAGCCTGGCACACTCTCACCTCTCTCTCTCTCTCTCTCTCTCTCTCTCTCTCTCTCTCTCTCTCTCTCTCTCTCTCTCTCTCTCTCTCTCTCTCTCTCTCTCTCTCTCTCTCTCTCTCTCTCTCTCTCTCTCTCTCTCTCTCTCTCTCTCTCTCTCTCTCTCTCTCTCTCTCTCTCTCTCTCTCTCTCTCTCTCTCTCTCTCTCTCTCTCTCTCTCACTGTCCCTGTCTGTCTCACTGGAGATGTCCGCAACCCAGTGGACAGCTCTCTGGGGTCGCAGTCCTAAAGAGCTCGGGTTCGATTCCCGGTCGAAGCAGAAACAAGTGGGCAGAGTTTCTTTCACCTGATTCGTTTGTTCACCTAGCAGTAATTAACGTAGGTACCTGGGATTTAAACAGCTGCTACGGGCTGCATCCTAAATATGTGTGTGTGTGTGTGCGTGCGTGCGTGCGTGCGTGTGTGCGAGAGAGAAATATATAGTAGTTACGATAGATAAAAAATAGGTTGGGATTTAGAACCTAAAACAACCGACGGTTAGAAAGGCGGGGTCGAAGAGCTAACATCTCGATCCTGCAGACACAAATCACTCAGGCTCCTGTCACTCAGGCGCCTGTCACTCAGGCGCCTGTCACTCAGGCGCCTGTCACTCAGGCGCCTGTCACTCAGGCGCCCGTCACTAAGGAGCCTGTCACTCAGGAGCCCGTCACTCAGGCGCCCGTCACTCAGGCGCCTGTCACTCAGGCGCCTGTCACTCAGGCGCCTGTCACTCAGGCGCCTGTCACTCAGGCGCCTGTCACTCAGGCGCCCGTCACTAAGGAGCCTGTCACTCAGGAGGCCGTCACTCAGGCGTCTGTCACTCGGGCACCTGTCACTCAAGAGGCCGTCACTCAGGAGCCCGTCACTCAGGAGCCTGTCACTCAGGCGTCTGTCACTCAGGCGCCTGTCACTCAGTAGCCCGTCACTCATGCAAGTAACGCCGGTCGTCGTCTGGCCAGGTAGAGTGCGGCCTTACAGCTTTCACTCCCTCTAGAGTGCCCTTTCTCCTCTCCGTGGTGTCTGCTGGAGCCTCCAGGATGGTGGTAGTGGTGTCTGCTGGAGCCTCCAGGATGGTGGTCGTGGTGTCTGCTGGAGCCTCCAGGATGGTGGTCGTGGTGTCTGCTGGAGCCTCCAGGATGGTGGTCGTGGTGTCTGCTGGAGCCTCTAAGATGGTGGTCGTGGTGTCTGCTGGAGCCTCCAGGATGGTGGTCGTGGTGTCTGCTGGAGCCTCCAGGATGGTGGTCGTGGTGTCTGCTGGAGCCTCCAGGATGGTGGTCGTGGTGTCTGCTGGAGCCTCCAGGATGGTGGTCGTGGTGTCTGCTGGAGCCTCTAAGATGGTGGTCGTGGTGTCTGCTGGAGCCTCCAGGATGGTGGTCGTGGTGTACACAAATGCTGATTTTAGGCTCTTCAGTAATATTCGGTTCTCTACACTGAGCAGCGCTCAGCCTGGTGGTGGGATACTGGCTTCCTTCAGGTGAGGAAGATATGGAGAGGATGGGAGGAATGGTTGTGTGTGTGTAAATATTGTATTTGTGTGTGTGTGTGTGTGTGTGTGTGTTTGAGTGCACGTAGCTCGCTATCTTACAGAGGTTCCCCTGCGCCTCCTACCTACTGCTTTCAATCGGTTTGTTGCTGGGGTTAGAGCAAAGTTGGGAGCTTCATTTCATTGTGTGTGTGGCTCTGATTCCACTAATTCAATGCTCTAGCCCTAAAGGCGATCTTCTTGTCCCTTTTTTGTTTTACCCTGTTTTAGGGCGCCTGATAGCTGGGTGGACAACGCTTCGGATTCGTAGTCCTCAGGTTCCGGGTTCGATCCCCGGTGGAGGTGGAGACAAATGGGTAAAATGGTTCTTTCACTCTGTTGCCCCTGTTACCTAGCATAAATAGGTACCTGGGAGTTAGACAGCTGTTACGGGCTGCTTCCTGGGGGATGTATATAAGAAAGGAGGCCTGGTCGAGGACCGGGCCGCGAAGACGCTTAGCCCCCGAAATCATCTCAAGATAACCTCAAGATATGTATAAAGATTCCACCCGTGACTGAGTACGGGTGGAATCGTCTCTTTTCGTCTCGTGTCAAAACTAATGGACATATATGGTTTCGGATTATCATAATCCATGACTCAACACCACAACTGTTCCCCCCTAATTCCCTGATAACACAATGTACTAGAAAATAATAGCGGCTCGCGAAATTGACACACTCTCCCGTTTTCTGTTTTGAGTCCTATGTTTAGGATAGGATAAAGGGGGGCACTTTAGTACGACTTTAGTTTCTTGACGTTGGGAAACCTTAGGAGGAGGACGGGGCTGCTCATCGACGTGTTTCTGTACGAGGGAGACATTTTCCCAGCACGGGGGGTCGGACGACCTGACAGGTGCGCATTCTTCAGGTCGTCGCCTGCCCATGCTAGCTACGATATCACTGGGGAACGGACGACCTGACAGGTGCCCGTCCTTCAGGTCGTCGCCTGCGCATGCAAGCGACGATATCACTGGGAAACGGACGACCTGACAGGTGCGCATTCTTCAGGTCGTCGCCTGCGCATGCAAGCGACGATATCACTGGGGAACAGACGACCTGACAGGTGCGCATTCTTCAGGTCGTCGCCTGCGCATGCAAGCGACGATATCACTGGGGAACGGACGACCTGACAGGTGCGCATTCTTCAGGTCGTCGCCTGCGCATGCAAGCGACGATATCACTGGGGAACGGACGACCTGACAGGTGCGCATTCTTCAGGTCGTCGCCTGCGCATGCAAGCGACGATATCACTGGGGAACGGACGACCTGACAGGTGCGCATGCAAGCGACGATATCACAGGGGAACGGACGACCTGACAGGTGCGCATTCTTCAGGTCGTCGCCTGCCCATGCAAGCTACGATATCACTGGGGAACGGACGACCTGACAGGTGCGCATTCTTCAGGTCGTCGCCTGCGCATGCAAGCGACGATATCACTGGGGAACGGACGACCTGACAGGTGCGCATTCTTCAGGTCGTCGCCTGCGCATGCAAGCGACGATATCACTGGGGAACGGACGACCTGACAGGTGCGCATTCTTCAGGTCGTCGCCTGCGCATGCAAGCGACGATATCACTGGGGAACGGACGACCTGACAGGTGCGCATTCTTCAGGTCGCCTGCGCATGCAAGCGACGATATCACTGGGGAACGGACGACCTGACAGGTGCGCATTCTTCAGGTCGACGCCTACCCATGCAAGCGACGATATCACTGGCAAGGTGCAAGCAGTGACTATGCAAGTGCGTGGAGGTGCTGCTATGCCCTTGAAACCTGGGCAAGGCATGCAGCGTCGACACCAGTCAGGCGGTGATGGGGCACAAACCCGGCCGGGAGATACACCGGGTTTTACCCACAACTTGTTGTAGGCTCCAGTGGTCCTCGTGGACAGTTTTTGTGAAGCTTTTTGTCTAAATGATGATAATAAACTAGTTAGTGGCATGGGGCAGGTGCCTGGGGGCGAGTGATTTTGCGTTGGTATTTGGGGGGGGGTTAATTTTTTTTCAACCACAGACGTGGCCACATATTTACAATGCTAACCAGCATATATACATTTTATTCTGTCCTCCATGGGTTAGAGATCTGTTAAACATAAAGTTCAGTGATTTATTAAACAATCAACCGTAGAAGGTGATTGTAATGCTTTTAAAATGCTAATCTAACCTACATATATAAATACACAGATTTACGTCTGTCCTACATAAACAGTGTTCGATGTGTCTTTTTACATAATGTCATTAATGTGCGTTTATAGAGGTGAAATGCATTTCTGACTAGCTTCCACATATTCTCATATTCTGTATACACATACATACATACATACATATATACACGTAGACAAGCACAACTAGGTGAGTGTACACACACACACACACACACACACACACACACACACACACACACACACCCACACACACACACACACACACACACGCACACGCACATATGTATGTATGTGTATATGCATGCAAGGGACAACTCCCCCTCCACGTGTAAACTGAGGGTCACTCTCCAACATTACATTACTGAGCTTAGCAAATACTGTATTGACTAGAGCATTCTTGAGAGTATCGTCCTAACCCATGCAGAGAGTGGGAGGGGCAGGTTGCTACCACGCGCCCCACCACCACTAACCATCGCCTATTAAGTCTCCCATCTCCTGACGCAGACTCTGTAACCCTTCATAGAGTCTAGAGCAGCCAGGTGTGTGGCCAGCCGTCTCAGCTCGCCACATGCCCCCCACTCGCCCGCACACACACACAAACTCGCCAAAGATAACTAATTGAACATAGAATATCTGGCAGGAAATTACTTGGACACCAAAAACCAGTTGCAAGAGCAGAGGAGCTGCGAGAGAGCGCTGCTTCACTCACACACGCAACTGTCTGCCAGTTGCGTGTGTTGCGTGTGCTCCCGTAAGGCAGTGCATGTTGGAGAGAGAGCAACCATACTTGAGCAACCCTGCCAGGGTGCTCAACCCAAGGATACGAAGACACAGCGCAAAGGGAACAGGCAGAGGTGCAGGAGTGCTGGGGGGAGAATACTTCTCTTATAACAACACATCATAGGCTGCTTGACCGTGAAGGTGCTCCCTGCCTCGCCCTTGGTTGATGGGGGCTCACTATCACAGCAGTGATGGTGACCTCCAGCAGCAGCACCAGCCAGGTGTGTGGCAGGAGGGACAGTGATAGTGACCACCACCTCCAGCAGTAGCCAGGTGTGTGGCAGGAGGGACAGTGATAGTGACCACCACCTCCAGCAGTAGCCAGGTGTGTGGCAGGAGGGACAGTGATAGTGACTACCACCACCACAAGCCAGGTGTGTGGCAGGTGACCCCTCCACCTCTACACTCTCCAACACATCTTCCATTATTTACAAACGCTGCTGTATTGAACACCCAGACTGTGGGAGACGTCTCCGGCACCTGGCGCTCTGCCGTCACCACCAGCATCCTTCCTGAGAGGTCTTCATCCCCCGCACACACCTGTGGAGATGCTGGGACGGAGATGAGCACCGTGTCAAGGCTCCACATGTGTCAGGTATAGTGACCCAGGATGCTGCTTATATATTGCTTAGCCCCTCGTGTCTCAGCTCACTACGCTGTTGTTCCTGTTGATCAGCAGAGGCTGTATCATACGTGATCTTCGTGTCTGCTACAAGGAGTATGTGGTTGCAGCAGACACGTGTGTCGTATCGCAGCAGCTATGGTGGGGGCGGGGTGCTGCCTATCTGCCGTCTGGGGCATGCTCTCTTGCTGGGCTGAAGCTCATGTAGCATGTTTAACTCTTGGTGTTAAATCCTCTACAGGAGTTTCAGTCGTTTCCACTTGCTTCAGTGTCTCTCGCCGGCCCCGTCCCCTCATAGGACCTGCACTCTACTGTGAGAAGTGTACTCAGTCACGTCTTTGTCCACTCAGTCACTGCCATGGCCATGTCTTTGTACATTCAGTCACTGCCATGGCCATATCTTTGTCCACTCAGTCACTGCCATGGCCATATCTTTGTCCACTCAGTCACCTACCATGGTCATATCTTTGTACACTCAGTCACCTACCATGGTCATATCTTTGTACACTCAGTCACCTACCATGGTCATATCTTTGTACACTCAGTCACCTACCATGGTCATATCTTTGTACACTCAGTCACCTACCATGGGCATGTCTTTGGGGGTGTGGCACCACGTGAGTCTAGGGGTGTGGGGGGTGTGGCACCACGTTAGTCTAGGGGTGTTGGGGGTGTGGCACCACGTGAGTCTGGGGGTGTGGGGGGTGTGGCACCACGTGAGTCTGGGGGTGTGGGGGGTGTGGCACCACGTGAGTCTGGGGGTGTGTGTGGGGGAGGGTGTGGCACCTCTGCTAGTCGCTCCTACACTCTCTCTCTCTCAATGATAGTA